TAGCATTTACAGAGATTAAAAATTCATCAGTAACGTCTGACTCTGTAAAATATCCGAAAGCTGTGAGGTTTGTCATACGAAAGAGGAAAAAAGGCCGTTTTCTCTGCGCGAATTTAAATTAGTAATTAGGGGAAAGTAAACATACATTTTTTTGATAGGTTAATTTCCCAACACAGAAAAAAAAAGAAAAACAAAGGAAAAAAGAATTCTCTACTCAAATAAAGCTTCAGTGATAGGATATCAAGACTTGACCGACACTCGGTCGGTCGGTCGGCAGTCGACAAATTGTCAGTGGACGCCTTGACCAACGAATCTGCTGACGTGTTGTTTGGATCGGATTTGTTTTCATACCCGAATTTTTAATTCACGTGATCTTGTAACGCCACGAATAGTTTTCAGCTCAGGAAAACTGAGAGAAAAATGTCAATATCAAAATCAATGTAGGTTACAGATACAAACTTATTCCGAAAATATTTGAATTTTTTTTTCTCTACATGTCGCACCTATCTGGACTTAGGAACGAAACGGCGACAAGTTTGAGATGATACGTCGTTAGCCCGTCTCTATGTTAACTTTTTCATTTACTATTTACCCACTTCTTTTATAACCGAAAATTCAGCCGAGTTATATCTTATGGTCATGAGAAAATTAAAGGTCAAGAAGCTTGAGGTCCCATTTTTTCAAATATCTAATTAATAGTGAGGTAAACTTCTTGTTTCTTGGAAGGAAGGCGACTAGCTGACCGATTCCGAGAACACCTTGGCGACGTAGAAAGAAATGACCCTAATCATTCTAAGCAGCATATGGCAGTTTGCGGCCTTTCCCTACATCTAGCAGTTCGGAAGGCAGCAAAACTGTAGAACAAAAGTCTACCTTTTAAATCGGCACTCTTAATCCCACGGTATCAACGAGCGCTTTTCACTTAACTAATTTATTATTGATTTCGCGTCACCATATTCCCACCGATAGCGTAGCTCCTTTTTTTGTATATAAACCCACACACAACCCACAGTTCCTCCAATCGTTCTGGCGAAGGGCTAACGTTCGAAACGTCAGTTGCTAAACTCTTTACGGTGGCTAATATACGTTATCAACTCAGTTTATAATATTAAATTACCCTAAATTCTTTTTTGCTTGACGAGGAACTGTTTTCTAAATATACATGACAAGTGATCGGGGCTAATATTTTTCTTACTCATCAGATAATTCAAGAATATTCACCTTCAGATATCAAATTAACTGTGTTAAACACAATGACCATAGTCTGAATTCGTTCCTGACGGATAATTAAGGATATTCTGACTCCGCTCAAGTAAAAATTTTGATCAAAACTTGTAACGTGCTGGTTCATAATGGATAGTGGTCATAGCATATCGAATATTTTAAGTTTGTAAAGGCGTGTTTCAAGTTCTCACGGTGATGTATCTTTTAATTTTAATTACGCAAATTTCATATCAAGGTAAGAGGGGAGAACGATTTTCAAGAGACAAACTCTAATGGCCGTACTATTGAAACCAGGAACATTTATATCATCACATCAGTTCCACAGGTGATATACTATTTAAAAAAACATTTCTATAATTTTGTCTCCTTTTATTTTAGTGACATGAAGTAAATCGAGCATTCCTATTGAAAATTTCCGGAAAGTACTTGAATCTCATTTTCGTCTCTGAGATTCAAATATCCATGGGCAAACAATTCATTTGCAAAGAAAAATGCATGATCAATTTAATTTAGTTTAAGTGTTGAGTTAAGCATACGAAAAAAGTTTGAACCTTTTCCATAAGTTTTACTTGTAATTGCTTGTCCCCCAATAAGTTTTCAACACAACATAATCGAAGCTTCGTTGGTTTTATTGACCCGCTTTTGCGTCCAATCGTGATTGTTATGGTGATAAGTTTTCCTAATACTTTCCAGTAGGGAGACTCAAGGTTTCTTCTTTGTCCTACGCACGTGGCACGATTAAAAAACATTTTTTCCCTAGTTCAGTAACGTGCCCAAAATTTACTATCTCAATTATTCTATTTTCTACATCTATAATGCCAATTTTTTTTAAAAGGATAATTGGTATGGCAAAAATAGAAAGCTAGATTGCATAAAACTATTCAAAATTAATGATTTGTTACAGATGCATAGTTACTCCTAATAATATTTGTATTTTTGTTCTTTCCTCTCTACGTGTGGCATCTGACTGGAACTTTGAGATCATGAAAATATCTCTACCGATCAAACTGCCTTGAACTCTACCTTTTTGTCCTAAAGGGTTTCAAAATAGATGCAGCGGTGAACAGTTTTTTTAATCGCCATTAAAAATGCACACCTGTAAAAGTTATCCTTAACTACAAACAAGAAATTCAAACATTCTTCTCACCGGAGACATTTTGTGTGCCAATTATCTCTGGTTCTAAGGCGGAAGTTTGATTCTGAACAATGCTGTTTGTCTTGTTACCTGTTAATCGAATTGTTAAGCGATACTTTGGATATGGCATCGTATAACAGGGACGAAGTTACACTCTCTGTAACCATTTTTTCAAAAGAAATGGTGAAAAAAAAAATCAGTGTTTGACCAAGAAAAACCTTTAGTGATAGCTATTGACAGATGACGAAGTGCTTAGGCACTGCTGTTATATCAGGACTTGTCAGAATTATGATCACATACGTACGGCAAGTTGAAAAACAAAAAGGTTGCAGTGCAGATTCTACTCGGTCGGAAAGCAGTTTGAAGACTTCCTTTGGGTGAGTCTAATGTCACCAAGACCATGTTATTTAGCCGGGGTTTTGCATGAGTTTTTTTAAAAACTACCATAATAACGGTTAAAGTTGTCATGTATACAACAGGTGATTGCATTCATTTTGTCTCGATTCCTCTTTTCTAATAAGAGTTTCCATTGCTGACTCGAAGAAAATATCTGTAGAAGTCAGTTGTATTCTGCATCAGAGCATATTTTGACAGCTTATCGAGTGACAACATAGCCTGTTCGAAGCTGGCTAAACGAAGTGCCCAATAAACGGCGCGATAGTCACGGTGGTGTGAAAAAAAAAGTGAGGTTAGGGTCCAGTCGGATAAAAAACAACGTTCACCCGACCCGACCCGACCCGACCCGACCCGACCCGACCCGACCCAAGTCTCCCACTTTTTTCTCTCCACCGCTACTATCGTGCCATGCACCATTTCGCTCCCTTTTACAAAATTAAAGCCTTTAATAGGCTAGTAACAACAATGGCAGCTAACCATGAGCTCTGCTTATAAAGATATGCTTAACAGCTTGTGACATTCTACATTCTTTCATCATATTCTGTTTAAAGATTAGCTTCAGCTTAGCTTGCCTGGCTTAGCTCATAATTCAGCAAGACAAAGTAAATAAAGGAGTATTTCAAAATTTTCTGGAGTATTTTAGAACAAGATTCTACGATATCTAGAAATCGCGGTTGGAAAATCAGTCGATCCTGGTAAATAATTTTGAACTTTTAAACATGACTGACCAAATTTTTATGATTCTCATTTCATCTATGAAATATACCTTCATTTATGACTTTTACGGCAACGTCAGCTTTTTCATATTATTTACTCATCAAAAATTTGCATACAACCTTAAATTCATTCCGTGATACTCGTAACAGTTCCGAGAATGAAAGAGAAAACCACATAAAAGGAGTTGGAGCGTAGTAGTTCTTGAACCAAAGTCTCTCTTTTTTCAGAATTTCAATGACATAAATCATTTTTTTGACCATCAGATCAAATTTAAGCGCGGAAATAATACGTAAGTGGTGAGCTGTCATACAAACCCTTTTAATTAGGAGTGGTGGTAGATACTCAAGAGCGCGCTTCGTACTCGATTGTCATGAAATGATAGAATGTTTTCTCATAAGACCAGCTTTGTGTACACGGCCCGTGATAGAGTCACGTATTTCCCTTGAATATTCGAAATTGGTAATAGGAATGCTTTTAAATTAACAGCAAAGAAACGGGTTTAAAGTCACGGTAAAGAAAACTACTAAAACATCTACCATGCCCTTGATTACGATGAAATCCGATAATTGGGTTAAACTCAAAGCAGAATCTCCATATTAGTTATAGAAGAAGCAGTACATGCCAACGTTAAAATAGGTCTACCCCTCTGCATAGCAGATTGCTTGTCTGATTGTCTGCTTTACTTCTCGTCTCACTTCACTTATCTTCCAGCAGTAAAGGAACGGGTTTAAAGTAGAGTTAAAGAAAAGTATGACAATTCCCATTCCGAAAATTAAGAAGAAATTCGAAAATCTCTTTGCACTAAGAAATATCACAATTCTCACTATAAACTGTGGAACATAACAGACAACTAAAGCTAACTGCACCCAAATCGCATTGTACACTGCCTTTCTGTATTGCGCCATGTTCAGTGCATTTGGTTGGTTCGGCTGTTGTTGAACATGATCTTGTATTTGAGCCTGATGGTGACTGAGAGCGCGAAAAATCTGTGTGTACGAGGCGACTGAGATTACCACGCAAAACGGTGTAATTATCAAGCTGCTCGAAAGGGCTATACGGTAATTGAGAGAGAGAATAAACCAGCGACTAGACATACAACCCAAACGATGGCTAAAATGATATACGTACGCCTCTGATGGATAATTAAAGATATTCTGTCTCCGATCGAGTGAAATTCTGATCTAAACTTGCAATGTGCTGGTTCATAATGGATAGTGGTCATGGCATATCGAATATTTTAAGTTAGTAAACATGTGTTTCAAGTAGTGATGTATATTTTTATTTTTATTACGCAAATTTCATATCAAGGTAACAGGGGAGAACTATTTAAAGGAACATTCATATCATTACATCAGTTCCACAGGTGATATACTAAGTAGACAAGAAAAAATTTCGACAATTTTTGTCTCCTTTTTATTCTAATATCATGAAGTAAACCGACCGTTTCTGCTAAAAAAATTTGGATATTTAGAGTTTGTTTTATTTCATCTTTGTTTTTCGGATTCAAATTGATCCTTGGGCAAGCAACTCTTTTTCAAAGAAAAACGCATGATCAATTTATAAAGGCGTTGAGTTAAGTAGCGAAAAAGTTTGAACCTTTTCCATACGTTTTACTTGCAATTGTCCCCAGTATTTTTTCAACACATCAAAATCGAAGCTTCATCGGCTTTATTGACTTGCTTTTGCGTCTATCCGTGATTGTTATGATAAAAAGTTTTCCCAGTACTTTCCAGTAGGGAGGGTCAAGGTTTCTTCTTTGTCCTACGCATGTGACAGGACAAAAAAAAAATTCCCCATAATTATTCTATTTTCCACATCTATAATGAAAAATTTTTGAACAAGGTTAATGACTATGGGAAAATTGAAACACAGATTACATAAAACTATTCAAGAGTGAGGCTTGGGTAGTCGGGTAAAAAACAACATTCACCCGACCCGAACTGAACCGATCTGTACCCGACGCGACCCGACCCGACCCGACCAGACCCGACCAGACCCAAGCCTCCGTCGTTTTTTCTCTCTACCGCTACTATCAAGCCGTGAACCATTTCGCTCCGTTTTACTAAATGAAAGCCTTTAAAAGGCTAGTGACAACAACAGCAGCTAACTATGAGCTCTGCTTATAGAGATGTGCTTAACAGCCTAGGAAATTCGACATCATTTCATCATATTCTGTTTAAAGATTAGTTTCAGCTTAACTTGCCTGGCTTAGCTCATAACTCAGCAAGACAAAGTAAATAAAGGAGCATTTTCAAAATTTTCTGCAGTATTTTAGAACAAAATTCTACGATAACAAGAAATCGCGGTTGGAAATCAGTCGATCCTGGTTAATAATTTTGAACTTTTAAACATGACTGACCAAATTTATATGATTCTCATTTCATCTATGTAATATATATTTATTTATGACATTCATGACAACGTCAAAATTCTACGATAACAAGAAATAGCGGTTGGAATTCAGTCGATCCTGGTAGATACTTTTGAACTTTTAAACATCACTGACAAAATTTTTATGATTGTCATTTCATCTATGAAATATACCTTCATTTTTTGTCATTCATGGCAACGTCAAGTTTTTCATATTATTTACTCATCAAAAATTTGCATACAATCTTTGAATCATTCCGAGATATCCGTAACGATATCGAGGATGAAAGGGAAATGTTAAAGGAAACCACATAAAAGAGGTGAGAGCGTAGTAGTTTTCGAAACAAATTCTTATTCCTTCCATTATACTTATTACAATTTTTCGGAACTTTAATGACATAAATCATTTTTTGACCATCTGATGAAATTTAAGCGCGGAAATAATACTCGCTGTGGTGAGCTGTCATACGAACCTTTTTAATTAGGAGCAGTGGTAGGTACTCAAGAGCGTGTGTCGACAGCTTTCGTACTCGATTGTCATGAAATGACAGAATGTTTTCTCATGAGACCAGCCTTGTGTATACATCCTGTGATAGAGTCACGTATTCCCCTTGAATATTCGAAATAAGCAACAAGAGTGCTTTTAAAATTAACAGCAAAGAAACAGGTTTAAAGTCGAGCTAAAGAAAGCTACTAAAGCATCTGCCATGTCCCTGATTATGATTAAATTCGATAATTGGGTTAAACTCAAAGATATCACAATTTCCAAATCAGTTATAGAAGAAGCAGTACATGCCCACGTCAAAATAGGTCTACTCCTCTGCAAAGCAGATTGCTCGTCTGATTGTCTGCTTTACTCCTCGCCTCACTTCACTTATCTTCCAGCAGTAAAGGAACGGGTTTAAAGTAGAGTTAAAGAACATTAAGATAATTGCCATTTCATGGATTATGAAGAAACTCGAAAATCTCTTTCTACTAGCAAATCTCACAATTTTCCCTACAAATTGTGGTGCATAACAGACAACCAAAGCTAACTGCACCCACAGTGCATTGTACACTGCTTCTCTGTATCGCACCATGTTCAGTGCATTTGGATGACTCGGCTGTTGTTGAACATGATCTTGTATTTGAGCCTGATGATGACCGAGAGCGCGGAAAATCTTTGTGTACGCAGCGATTGAGATTACCACGCAAAACGGTGTAATTATCAAGCTGCTCGAAAGGGCTATACGGTAATTGAGATGAGAGAATAAACCAGCGACTAGACATACAACCCAAACGATGGCTAAAATGATATACGTACGCCTCAAAGTTACAATCTCTTTGTATCTCAGTCCCAACAATATGGCGAAGAGTCGGTCCACGCTTATGGCTGTCGACGTCAGCAAAGACACTCCACATAGTGCGTAGCTTGATATGTAGACTGCGTCTCTTGCGTACCGACAAAGACTCCAGTGTTTGTGAACCAAGGACATCCAATAAGTAGCATAGAGAGGCTGGGTGACAAGACCAACCAACAGATCAGTTGTTGCCAGACAACGATACAAGAGTTTGGATGGCTGATGGAGGGAAGATTCCTTGTGTAGGGAAACAAGGATAAGAGAATTCCCAAGAGTTGCTGTGATGGAGAGGAGAATGTTGACTGCTGAGAATGAAATGGACTGTTGTTTAAACTCACCTACCCAAACTGGAGAACATAGCGATTCGTCAAATGTTGGCGCTTGTGTTCCTCTTCCCGTTATATTTGTTGTCACCGTCATCCTGCTGTCGTTTCCACTCTCCTGCAGGTTGTCCTTAGCTACAACGAGGAATATTTTGTGCTAACGGCACTTTAAGTCAAGGTCGGTTAAACCTTAGTTTTTGAATAACAATTGCAGAAAGTAAAAAATTGTCATTAGCGTCTGACCATGTATAATGCTCGAAAGCTGTGAGGTTTGTGACACGAAAGAGTTTTGCGGAAATTAAATTTCACTCGAGCGATGGCTTGTCATGACAGTTCTCAAGACTTTAATTTCAGACAACTTTGAAGGACAATTTACAAAATATTACGTAACACAGAAAAAAACAAATGCCACAGCCATGTATATTAACTCTATCTTATCTATCCAGGCGACTTTCTTAAACATCGCGTTTCAATCAAGGAAACAGGAAGACTTGAATGACACCTTATTGGTTCACCTGAGTCACACACGCCAAAACCGATCAAATTCAAGGTAAATTTTTGAAAAAGTGAGGCGTTCTTAACTGATCCAACTAACATAGCTAGTAAGTAGGTGCCATAGAAAAGGTAACTACAGAAAAAAAACTTTGCGGCCCGACCCTTACGAAATCTTTATAACTCCGTGAACTTACCTAATTTTCGGCAATCTCCAAGTTTGGCCGCCATTTTGAGGGACCTGTCAACATGAAGCGTACCTGATATAAATCAAGCAGGTAGATCTAAAACCGTCACAAATACATACGAAAGCAATTCAAATTGACTTCACTTTCAATTCGAGCGGCAAAATTTGAAATCGTTCGTTAAAGTTACCATTCCTACATCCCCATGCGACCATTTCTTCCAGCAATTCAAACACTACAACTAGTGCTCAAATTCCCTCGTCGATTCCGCCGTAAGAAATAACCTGTGCCACCCAAGCTTCGACTCGAATGTGAAGTACGAATCAAATAACATAACTGCTTCATCTTCGCCGCAATCTCACGCTGGTAATTTGATTTCGGATCGACAAGAACGGTGATCAGGTAGCGATCGCCATGGTTACCTCATAAAACTAACTATGGCTAAAATGATATACGCGCACCTCAGAGTTACGTCTCTCTGTATCTCAGTCCTAATAACATGGTGAGAAGTCGGTCCACGCTCATGACCGTCAGCGTCGACGATGACACTGAACATAACTCACAGCCTGATACGCCGGTTGCGTAAAATAAGTATCAGCAAAGACTCCAGTGTTCGTGAACCACAGTCATCCAATAGGTAACACAGAGAGGCCATATAATTATACGGCCGTGCCACATATTTAATCAGTATAGCCTAAAACAAATGTAGCATAAACCAGCGACACCAGCAGTATCCAAAAGGCAACAGCCAACATCCTTTTGTTACTATCACCCTTTTGCGAGGGTCTCAATGGGGTTAACCGTTAGCCGTAAAACGGCCAAAAAATGTAGCCGTTAGGTGATAAAATTGACAAAATTTAACCGTTATTTGTAAGAAAATTAACTTAAAATATTTCCGGTGGAAACAATGGAAAGATGCCTAACGTTCGCCGTGAATTGGCCAAAATTTTTACCGTTAGCCGTAAAAGCCATCACCCCATTGAGAACCTCTTCCGCATATTATTCAAGATAAGTCAAACATCAGTTTGTGAATAATAATTACATAAAGACTTCATCAGTAGCGTTTGACTATGCAAATGCCAAAAACGACATTGAAGAGTAAAATCTCCTCGATGTCGAAGATCGAAACGCGTCCATTTTAGCCATACAGCTACATTCTTTGGAAAGTAGTATATCGAAATGCCTGGTTTATGTGTATTATTCTTGTAGCTAACATCATTTGGCACTGAAATAATAATTACATTATTACTGACTTCATCAGTAGCGTTTGATTATGCAAAATGCAGAAAACAAGCTGTCCAGTGTGTTACATGAAACTCAAAGAAAAAAAAAAGGGCCGGGTTTTTCTGCGAATTTGAATTAGTAATAGGCGGCAAGGAAATGTACATTTGTGGTAGAATTATTTCACAATACGACAACAAATTTGGTAATAAATGTGCTTCTAAAATTACTCGCTCAAAGAAATTTATAAATAACTTCTGAGGACCACGCTTTTGCACTCAACAAACAGCCCTAATTGATGTTGGTAACGTACTAAGAAACAGTTAGCTAGTCTTATCGACCATGTTAGAATTTTTTAATCATTTCTTATAATTTTCTCCTGTTAAAGTTTTAGAGCTAAATCTTAGGCAATTGACCTGTCTCAAGCAAGTACTCTATATCAAAGACAGAGATGATCAACTTCTTTTCTAAACACATCTTTCTGTGTATTTGAACAGATGTTAATAAAGTCCGCACCTTTTTTGTTATTTCCCAATCATGACAAAATCGAACGGCTGCCTAATTTTTCAGCTCGTCATCACTAAACCATATTTCTGAGCTAATGTGACATATTTCGTCAAGTTTTGATCGCAAAGCAAAATTTCTAAGCACATTCTGATTCCAACTGATAACCTTCACTACTCATTACAAATGCGCAAATTGGCGAGATGTTGTTGTTTTCACATGGCTACTAAACTACAACTTTTCACCAGTTAGTTGTTCGTTAGATAATTCGAATACAATATACTATTTAGAAGTTACTGTAGCTGTTCATATTTCTTCCGCACTCTTTTTTACCTCTGTTGTATTTTGCGAAATTGATCTTACGCAAATGATTGGTCTCAAACGATAACTCTATATGAAATAGATATGATCAACTTCTCTCTAAACATATCCTTCTGCGTATTTGAACTGATGTTAACAAAATCCTCATCTTTACTTTTCAAAGTCTCATTATATACACTATGGATAATTACCAATCATCAAAAAATTGAGGAGCTGGCTCCTTCAATAGCTCATTATCACTGAACCATATCTCCTCGCTAAGGTGACATATCTCATCAAGTTTGATCCCAAAGAAAAACCCTGAGCGCATTCTGATTGCAAAATAATAGCCTTTACTACTTCATTACAAATGCAGAAATTGGCGACATATTATTGTTTTGTTATGGCTACTAAACCACAATTTTACACCTGTTAGTTATTCGCTTGGTAATTAATATTCGAATATAATATACAACTTAGAAGTAGTTCTTCATATTTTTCCTTACCCTTTTTTATCATGAAATGGCATATTTTCCCCTCTCTTCTAATGATTAAATTTTTCAAATAACTTCAAGTAGAAACAGTACAATCCAACGTTAAAACAGGTCTACCCCTCAGCATAGCAGATTGCTTGTCTGATTGTCTGCTTTACTGCTTGTCTCACTTCACTTATCTTCCAGCAGTAAAGGAACGGGTTTAAAGTAGGGTTAAAGTAAAATATAACAACTGCTATTCCCCTAAATATGATGAGATTCGGAGATGGCACTTTGCAAAGAGAGATCAAAATTTCCACTGTTAATAGTGGTACATAACAGACAACCAAAGCTAACTGCACCCAAAGTGCACTATGCAGTGCCTTTCTGTATCGCACCATGTTCAGTGCATTTGGTTGGCTCGGCTGTTGTTGAGCATAATCTTGTACTTGAGCCTGATGATGACTGAGAGCGCAAAAAATCTTTGTATACGAGGCGATTGAGATAACTAGGCATGATGGTAGCCCTATAAGACTGAACCAAAAGGTTATACGGTAATTGAGATGAAAGAATAAACCGGCGACTACACATACAACACAAACGATAGCTAAAATGATATATGTGCGCCTCAAAGTTACAATCTCCCTGTATCTCAGCCCCAACAACAGGACGAGAAGTCGGTCCACGCTTATGGCCGTCAGTGTCGACGTTGACAGTGAACATAATGCATAGCTTGTTACGCCATTTGTGACCCATGCGTATCGACAAAGACTCCAGTGTTCGTTAACCACGGACATCCAATAAGTAGCATAGAGAGGGTGGCTAACAGCACCAACCAACAGATCAGTTGTCGCCAGACAACGATACAAGAGTTTGGATGGCGGATGGAGAGAAGATTCCTTGTGAAGGGCAACAAGGATAAGCGAATTCCCAAGAGTTGCTGTGATGGAGAGGAGAATGTTGACTGCTGAGAATGAAATGGACTGTTTTTGAAATTCACCTACCCAAACCGGAGAGCATTCCGATCCTTCAATTGTTTTCGTCTGTGTTCCACTTCCTGTTATATTTGTTGTTATAGCCATCATTGGTGTTTCTGCTCTTTTGCAGGTTATCCTTAAGTTGTCAATAACGAGGTATATTTCGTCTTAACAGCAGCCTCTAAGTCAAGATCATTTAAACCTTAGTTTTTCAATAACAATAACATAAAGTAAATATTCATCAGTAGCGTCTGACTTTATAAAATGCCTGAAGCTGTGAGCTTTGTCACACAAAAGAGAAAAAAGACAAATTTTTGTGTGCGAATTTGAATTAGCAATGGGGGGGGGGGGGAGGGGGCGGGATGCAAAAGCGGTATTTGTGATAGTTGTGATAGGTTAATTTCACAATACAACAGAAAAAACTCCTCACTTAAATAAACCTTCAGTGATAGGATACCGACAGTTGACCGACGGTCAACAGATTGTCGGCCGACGCTTTGACCAATTCATCGGCCGACGTGTCGTTTGGATCGGACTCGTCGCCTTACCCGGATAATAACGTAAATTATTAATTTACGCGAATCATGGGATGCCTTGAATTGTTATCAGCTAAGGCAAACTGAGAGAAAAATTCCAATTTCACAATTTATGTAGGTTCTAAATGCACAGCTATTCTAAAATATATGAACTTTTGTTCGCTACGTGTCACACCTGTGTTGAGTTAGGAACGAAACGGCGACAGGTGTAAGATATTACGTTGTTAGCCCATCTCTATCTCACTATTTCATTCGCTATTTATCCACTTCTTTTATAGCTGCAAATTCGGCCGGATTATTTCTTATGGTCACGAGAAAATTAAAGGTCAAGAGGCTTGAAGTCCCATTTTTTTAAAGTATCTAAACTACTAGTGAGGTAAGTTTCTTATTTCTTGTTCTTGATTCAACCAAGCTGTTATGTATTTGTTGTGGTTCTATTTTATCCTTGGTTCAAATTTTATGTTCTTTTGTTTTTGGGTATTGTAATGTAGGATAATGAGTTTGAAACAAAGGAAAATAGAATTTTAACCAAGGATAAAATTGAACCACAGCATATACTCCGGGGTGACCAACTCTTCCTTTTAATACCCTCTAGCTCTGTTATTCCCATACAATAAATAGACTGATTTTGAATAATAGCACAGTACTTGACGTGAACGATTGTGCCAATCGATCACCAGCATGCGAAGCATGTAACTTGACAGAAATCTAAGGTCAACAAATAGAGGCTCAGCTCTCCTTTCTGTCACTTTTCTGTCTTCAAAAATGTCAATTTCAAACAGATTTAGCCCTTGAAGGACCATGACACTAAACGATATATTGCATTAAACACATTCAAAATTATTGTATTGCATTGTAAGTAAACCGCTCTCTTCAACAGCACCTGTAGGAGACATTTTGTGTCAAAAATTGAGTCTCACTTTTAATCTTTAAATATTTCAGGCTATTTGTATTTCATAGCGAAATAAAATATAGAAAAAAAAATCATGGTATATTTACTTTATCAAAGTCTTGCATTATAAAAAAAGAAGTTGTGTGTTCATTCAACATAAAGATAGAATTACTGTTTATCTAACACGATAAACGATCGAGTTGTAAATTTTTAAGTGAGCTTTCTGTAAAGGATGAAAGAAGCTGCTTGGCTGATATTTCTCCATTGACAACCTTCTTCTCTACTTTTTTTGCATATAACAGAGGTATTTCGCCTTCACAAAGTCTTCACGTCCACTTTGCCGTAAATGTTACCATTTAATAATGCATATGTACTTTAGCGTTTAAACTGTATCGTTTACCTTACTTGAAATGCGCGAACGATCTCAAGTTTCTTTTGAGACCGTTTTCTGCTTGTTGCTTCTGAACAATGCTGTTTGTCTTAGTAACCTGTTAATCAAATTGATAGACGACATTTTGGATATGGCATCGTATAACAGGGACAAATTTATACCGGCTATGTGAGCATTGTTTTAAAAGAAATGGTGAGAACATCATTGTTTGAGAAACGAAAACCGTCACTGAAAGTTATTGAGAAATGACAAAGTGCTTGTGCAAATGCTGTGATCTCGCGACTTAAGAGAATTATGATCACGTGCTTACGGCAGACTGAAAGACAAAAAGTTTGCAGTGCATGCAGATGCCAATCGGTCAACAAGCAGTTTAAAGACTTCCTTTGAAAGAATCCATAGTCACCAATTCCGTTGTTTTTTGAAAAACTATACTAGCAGTTTTGAGTCATTATCTGATCGCAAAATATTACCGTGGCAATAATTAAAGTTGTTATGTATACGACAGGTGATGCATTAATTTTGTCTTAGTATCGATTCCTCTTTTGTAATAAGTGGT